TAATAATGTGTGTTGAGCATTGATTGTCGTTAGCATAGATACCTCCTTCGGTTTCATTCGAAATGCACTATTTTTGACGCACACTTTCATTAAGCAATGATCTTCCCAGTGAGAAGACATGGCACGGCTCCTCCGAGAGGTCTGAAAATGAAGCCCTCATAACTCTCAGTGTTTCTGTGGAAGACAGCCTGACAAAAGTGTCAACTCCCAATATCTTCCTCATAAAACTCCGCAGCTCTAATAGACGGATGTAAATCAATTACGTCAGACCTCATTGAGAAGAGCCGGGCTCGAAGGAACCCCTGGCGCCGGAGATTTGATCACAGAAGGCAAGAGTACGCTGGCATCGACTCGCAGTTGATTCTAGATTTTGAAAGATTGTGCTGAAAGCTTGTTGCTTGTTTTTGAACAATATGACATTCTTGTGATGTTTGCCCAGTCTCAAGCATTCTCTTGATTGTGTGTTGCGTTTGTATACGTACAAAGGTTCTTTGTGCATATTGGGCTGCATTGATGCTGATTGATTTCGACAGGGTCTGGAGGATAGGGGATGCTGTGTGTAGATCTGTGTATGTGTTGAAATATGTGGTAATCTGGCTGAGTATCTCTTGATAATCTTAGTAAGTTTCCTCGGTTCTCCCCTCATGCGACCTCTGACATGTATAGCGATTAGAGCCAGACCGATATATCGGCAGACCGATATTATCGGCCGATATTAGGCATTTTCCAAACTATCGGTATCGGCAGTTATAATGGCCGATAAATGAATATTTCAAAAATAAAATAAAAAGGGACGAAACACGCTTGAACCATGTCATGAGTGTTGGAGTTGTATAGTTTGTCCACCAGAGGGCGCTCTACACCGTTCCTGTCGGCAACACTCGTTGGCAACACTCACAATACATACATTGCTTGAATAACAGTTAAAAGATCATCCCCATCAGTTCTCTTAAGTCAAATCAAATAAGCATGACAAAATTCATGAAAAAGCATGAAAAAAAGAATCAACTTAAACAATGGCTCAAGACACATCAAAATTGTGACCATTAAACAACTTTCCTTTCTTTCTGTTTTTTTTTTTCTCTCTTCTTTACAATCGAGGTACAGTATATGAATAAAGAACACTGTAGTATCGTGTAAGCATTTGTATGTATATTAAACCAGATTTAGTATTTATTGTAATTCCAGCATGTATACATAGAATAGCACTTTGCTGTATATGTGTAATTTGTCTGAAAACAGTGGTGTCTTTTGTAATTGTTACTGAATTTTAAGGTGTTCTTTAAACTGTGTAGTATTCAATTTAAACTTAAATGTTAGTTTTGTTATATGTTGTTTTGTGATGACCTGACGGGGGACTGCAGATGGAAAGTAGCCCTGGGGCTAATTCTGGCATATTTACATTACTGAAATGTTTATCAATATGCATTGTCCCTTTTAAATAAATAAATAAATAAATAAATAAAAATTTGTGACTATCATGTCCAGTTTCAAATAAATAAATAAAATATATCGGAATATCGGATTTTAAAACCCAAAAATATTTGTATCGGTATCGGCCTTCAAAATCCTTTATCGGTCAGGCTCTAATAGCAATTGTAAGTCGCTTTGGATAAAATCGTCAACTAAATGAGTAATTGTAAATATAGAAACTGTGACCGAGTCCCGATCAGGAGCCTGGATCAGTACAGAACCGTGAATAGAGCTGAGCAGGGAAACATAATTTAAAGCACATTACAGCTTCTTTGGTTACTTGGAAGGGACTTGATAACCTAACTAGAGCCCGACCGATAAAGGCTTTTGAAGGCCGATAGGATTTTAAAACCCGATATTCCGATATATCGGCCGATTTTTATTATTTTTTTCAGAAACGTGCAACACAACATTAACAGATTTAGCTATTTGTAGTTATTTATGAATTTTAACTAAAATAATATGCTAATGCATTTTAAAAAGAAACTAGTTTCTTTTATTGTCACAACAGAACAGACTGATGGGAGTTGCATTAGCTAGCTTTGTGGTTAGCTAGTCTATGACGAGCCATAATTTAGTAATGGATAACGACATACTGCAAATTGCACAAATTTTGTCATGCTTATTTGAGTTGAGAGAACTGATGGGGATGTTCTTTTAATTGCTATTCAAGCAATGTATGTCTCGTGACCAACTCAACGAGTGTTGCCGACAGGAACGGTGTAGAGCGCCCTCTGGTGGACAAACTATACAACTCCAACACTCATGACATGGTTCAAGCGTGTTTCGTCCGTTTTTATTTTATTTTTGAAATATTCATTTATCGGCCATTATAACTGCCCATACCGATAGTTTGGAAAATGCCAAATATCGGCCTGCCGATATATCGGTCTGGCTCTAAACCTAACCCAAACTTCTTGATTTTGGGTAATGTTTGTCCAACTTAGATTATCTTTTTCAATCGATTCTTTAAACTCTCCATTGTGTCTGTTTCCAGGTGTCACAGAGCCCTACTTTCCCCACAGCGGCTCAGTTAGATGGGAACACTGTTCCTCTATTTGTTTAAGTCTCGAGCCACAATTGGACAAGGTGCTCTCGCACAATTATTTGGTTGTTTAAATAATTCCTGCTCCATTGTTGAAGACATCTGGAGTGGAGAAAGAGGCCCAAGGGTACAACGATGTGTAGTCACAGGTGTTTGTGTAATGATCGGGCTGATGGGAAAGCGAGTAAACAGCCAGAACTGACACACGTGGAAGAGATCTCTGGTAGACTCTAGAAGAGCACGGATGTAAAGGGGCATCCCGAGTCTCTCCGAGAGGAGCTTCGGTGATGAATGGACAGGGCGAGGGAGGGAATGATTGAGCGTGAGTGACACATCGGGAGGATGGCGACTAAGCCTGGCATGCCGCATTGCATAATTACATTTTCTGTTCAAAGAATATCGGCAATCAATAATGTAATTCATAGAGAAGCCATAGCGTACCCTCTCATTGGCATTCACCGCCATGCCCGAGCCGCTATCCTGAAGAATTAGAGCAGCGAGGAGCAGAAGGCAGTTTGTCATTGAAACAAAAAGTCACCCATTGTTCATATCAGAATATACTTACCCAGCATGCTCGGAGAGAGAGAGAGGGGCCTTGTAAATTACATTATGTTTTGAGTGATGGCTTTTAGGCGGTGTGTCCTTGTTACCGTAGTGTGGTCAGCACATCGGCAGGCTTGCAAAAAACAAAAAAGAAAGAAGTGGGCCTTTTCTCGGTAACATCTTGCTGTGATTTTAGTCCTTTCTTGGTCGTTTTGGGTCAGTCTAGATTCAAAATGGCAGTCAGCCCCGAGTCCTGCCATGGTGAGTTTGAGAGTTTGGATGTGGACGACAGCTGTGAGGCTGATCTCACGTCGTCTCTTCACCTTCCAGTGCATCCCCGACGTCCCACAGCCAGGAGCCGAGGGCTCGAGATCGCCTCTGATAAACTCACACACGGCCACGGGCTGCTGGGATGCGTGCCATGCTCCTAACCCCTCCAGCCCCTGTACCAAGTCAGAATAAATTCTCATTCAACACAGCCATACAGTATCTCTGGCATCCTTTGACGGATGCCTAAGCACCCCAATCCTCTGGTATTGTCGTTTCACAGCTAATGTGAGCCTTCGAGCTCTGAGCAAGTACACGGAGGGGTCTAGAAGTCCTGTTGGGTTGAGTTGGGCCTACCTGTGGGACTCGGTGGCCTCACCGTCTCCGGCTGCCAGCGCCTCTGTGCTTAGCGCTTTAGCCTTCCACTCACCGGCCAATCAGGCCTTGTTTATTTATTTAGCCCCTCATACATGTTTAATGAGGGAGGGAAAACTGATCCCAGAGCAGACAGGCTGTAAATACCGCTGTGTGGGGGGGCTGTTTTTCTCTCTAATGGAGTTGAGTTTTTTGAGCCAGATTGGTTTATACAGGATTTAATGACTTGGTTCAGCCAGAGATCGCTGGCTGGTGTGTTACTGCTTTTGTGTGTGTGTGAGTGAGTGTATGAGGTCTTGTGATGTATCTCTAGTCTGACCCTCATGATTTGTGTATGCTTGTGTACTCACTAGGGCTCTTATAGTCAACCGATGTGGATTTCCATACTAGACAGTGGGGTGTAGGGTGATGCAATTTAATTATTATTGGGATACAGAAAAAAGATTTAACCACACATGGTTAAAGATTAATGAACTGAAATTTTCTTAGGAGATTTTGGAACTGATAGAAAGTTGAGACTTCTATTAAAGGAGAAAAAAAACAACATTAGCTGATAATTTACTCAATCCCATGTCATCCAAGATGTCCATGTCTTTCTGTCTTCAGTCGAAAAGAAATTAAGGTTTCAGGATTTTCTCCATATAATGGACTTCAATGGGAACCAAACGGTTCAAGATCCAAAAGACAGTTTCAGTGCAAACTGTTCAAAGGGCTTTAAACGATTCCAGACGATGAATAAGGGTCTAAGGTCGATCGCTCATTTAATAAATAAATAACAAAGTTTAAGTTTTATAAGCTCAAATGCTCGCCTTGCTCTGCGGGTTCGTGACTCTCCTGTTCATCAACACGAACAAATCTTTTTCCGAGTCAATTTGTTCGTTTCGTTCGTTGAATGAACCAAATGACTCGGAAAAAGATTCGTTCATTTTGACGAACAGGAGAGTCACGAACGTGCATCACAGAACAGAGCAAGGCGAGCATTTGAGCTTATAAAACTTAAACTTTGTTATTTATTTATTAAATGAGCGATCGTTTTGCTTGATAAGACCCTTATTCATCGTCTGGAGTCGTTTAAAGACCTTTGAACAGTTTGCACTGAAACTCTCTTTTGAACTGTTTGGTCCCCATTGAAGTCCATTATATGGAGAAAATCCTGAAACCTTAATTTCTTTTCGACTGAAGAAAGAAAGACATGGGGGTGAGTAAATTATCAGCAAAAGTTTTATTCAAAAGTGAACGACTCGTTTAATCAGCCAGCACTTCCTCTAAACACTTTCTCATTATTTTTCTGTTCCAGCAGTGGCCGAGTGGGAGAAAGCTGAGCATCATGACCGGCCGATCGGGGACAGGCACCGCAGAGCGGCCGAAGAGTCCTACTGGGCCTACTCAGGTGAGCAAACCACACGAGACATTTCTGAACGAGGAGCATTTAAATGTCTCTTCTGTGATGGTCTTTGTGTTCTGCTACCACTAAAACACACACACACACACGTCCTCTGATAGACAGCGGGTCTTTCATCCAGAGCTGTCCACCTCGCCCCAGAGGCCTCGCCGTAGGCTCTCCCCTGGCTTTTGCTTTCATGAATGCTTTGCTGTTGAGAAAGTGACTCATGTTGTCCCTCTGAGCAATATTTGAAGAAGAATAGCATTAATCTTTAACTCTGCCACCAAGCCTGCGGCAACCAATGATATTTTATTTTATTTATTTAAATGCTTTCCTTTTTCCCTGCCGTGGGTTCCTGTTGTTTTCCACCGTGACGGGTGACACAGACAAACACTTGGATACCTTTATTGTATTTTTCGCTAACGTCCACCATTTAATGTCCCACTAAGGTGTTGAAGCATCTTTCAGAGGAGCAATTCGTTATGAATAGTCAATGCATTTAGAGCCAGAGTAGAGTTGGTAGTAAAGTCTTTTTGTATTAGGCGGTATGTGCTTAAATACTCTATTCAATTCTCTACTGAAAAGAGCTGAGATTGTAGTGTAAGAAGTCACAACCTTTATGTGTGTGTGTGTGTGTGCATATATTATCACATCAGAGATGCCTTCAGTCAAAGGATCTTGATGTTTTAGTGTTTTTATACATCTATTTTCAAGTGATAATTACACAGTCTTACATTTAAATACTTCCTGCGGGCTGACGTTTGTCATCACTCTCTAGTGCGCACGTTTGGATGTCTGTGTTGGCACTTGTGTCAGGGACTCAGATGTACTGTAGCTCGCTAAGCTGGAAGCTACTTGTGATTTAAAGTAGTTCAACTAGTCAAGCCACTCTTTTGAAAACACGTGTAATTGCATGTAGTTACTAAAAAATGTTTGGCAACAACTCAAGAAACCATTTAAAAAGATTAGCTTTATTAAAAACTAAGACAGTGCACTGTACCATTCATTCTTGGAAAAATTAGCTGGAAAAGCTACACTGAGATTTGGGCGTGTTACTGGAAAATAGTCATAGTTTGGCTTTTTTTTTAGTAATTAATAATCTTTTTTATTTACTTACTTTTTGGTTGTTGGATAACATTTCAGTTTTGTTAAAGGAGTAGTTCAATTTTTAAAAAAAACTTTAGCTGATAATTTACTCACCCCCGTGTCATCCAAGATGTCCATGTGTTTCTTACTTCAGTCGAAAAGAAATTAAGGTTTTTGATGAAAACATTCCAGGATTTTCTCCATGTAATGGACTTCAATGGGGTCCAAACGGCTCAAGGTTCAAATGAGAGTTTCAGTGCAAACTGTTCAAAAGGCTTTAAACGATTCCAGACGATGAATAAGGGTCTTATCAAGTGAAACGATCGCTCATTTAATAAATAAATAAATAACAAAGTTTAAGTTTTATAAGCTCAAATGCTCGCCTTGCTCTGTTCTGTGATGCGCATTCGTGACTCTCCTTTTCATCAAAATGAACGAATCTTTTTTCGAGTCATTTGGTTCATTCAACGAACGAAACAAACAAATTGACTCAGGAAAAGATTTGTTCATTTTGATGAAAAGGAGAGTCACGAACACTTTGTTATTTATTTATTAAATGAGCGATCGTTTCGCTTGATAAGACCCTTATTCATCGTCTGGAGTCGTTTAAAGCCCTTTGAACAGTTTGCACTGAAACTCTCATTTGGACTTTGAACCGTTTGGTCCCCATTGAAGTACATTATATGGAGAAAATCCTGGAACGTTTTCATCAAAAACCTTAATTTCTTTTCGACTGAAGTAAGAAACACATGGACATCTTGGATGACACGGGGGTGAGTAAATTATCAGCAAAAGTTTTTTTTTTTAAAGTGAACTACTCCTTTAAATGAGTCTTACTATGCTTAGTCCATAACTGTAGGCTTATGTTAAAATCATTGCATTATTCCCATCAACCCCTGCTGTTCAGAGACAGGAGATGCTCCGGTCAATGGTTTGACGGGTGGGTCACTCGGGCGTCTGGGTGCTGTGTAGTTTGCCCGCTGTCGTGAGATCTCTCTGGCATCAGCCTGTGTGCGGAGAAAGGGAGAAAGCGTGTGCTATTTTTAGTCAGGCATGGATGGCGAAACAGCAAGTCTGTTACAAGTACAGGCAATTAGTACATTCTAATTAGCAAGTAAGTTTTAATCAGTAACCTGGTGAAAAGAAGAGAACATGATGCCACATTATGAGGAGACTAGATCATTTAGAAATAGACAACAATTATAAATGATTACTGAAAACCTCCTACTGTGGCATTTGAGTCAATGACATGCCACTCATTGTTTGTTCCTATCATCTGATTTTGATTATGGATTATTCAGAAAACAAATTAAAAATAATTTCATACATTTGGTGACTTTAATACGCCTCTTCTATGATGAGAATGTTTTCAATTTCTTTATTAAAAGTCATTTTAATGAATTTTTTCACATGATTATGTGTCAAGGTTGGTAAGTCTTTTAGATAATTTTTCCTGTTTTAATTACAATGCAAGGCTAGTTTAAAATGTCATATGGTGTGACTTGTGATGTAATGATATTTAAAAAATGATTAATTCAGAATATCTGTAAAGCAATAACTTTTTACAATTGTAAATGTATTTAAAATAGGGCTGTCAGGCACCCAAAATAAAAGTTTGTGTTTACATAATATATGTGGGTGCACTCACTGTGTACAATTATTTTATATATATAAATACACACACATGCTTGTATATATTAAAAAAAAAAAAAATTATATATAAAATATTGATGTTTATATATAATATAAATTATATATAAATCTATATACATGAAAATATTTCTTAAATATATACAAGCATGTGTGTGTATTTATATATATACAAAATAATTACACACAGTGCACCCACATATATTACAGTATGTAAACACAAACTTTTATTTTGGATGCGATTAATCACGATTAATTGTTTGACAGCCCTATTTTAAATAATGATTAAGATGTGTATACAAACAAAACATTGTTTCTTTTTCCCAAACCATATGAAAGTTTATATTTTTTTAAAAACATTTTGTTCCCATTCAGGGAACTTCGAGCTGCGTGTAAACGCCGTGGGAACGCCTCTGCGTGACGAGTCATGAAGCACGTATGAAATCTGTCCAATGGCGAGACGGAACGTCATAGGCGGGGTGACGTATCGACCAGGAAACTATAAAGCATCCCCGAAACACAAGCGCAACAGCTTCTGAGTCTTCACAAGCGCTCTATGTATGAATATTGTCTGTCTGTCTGATATTGTATATATATATATATTGGAAAATATGGCGAGCAAACAACAGCAGAATTTCAGAAAGTGTGTTCATCCCTGCCCTCGCTTCATCACGGGTGGGGACACACACGATCTGTGTGTTGTTTGTTTGGGAGTGCAGCATGCTCAGTCGGCTCTCGAGGGGGCCGGCTGTGAGCACTGCGAGTGTCTGTCCATGAAGACACTTCGCTCCCGCCGGGCACTCTTCGAGGAGAGTGGTTCGGTGCGCGCTCCCCGCGGCTCGGGTCCCGCTGCTGCCGAGGCACAGCGAAGGCTTGCGTCGTGGGGTTCGCAGATGGATCTATCAGCGGGGATTGAGACGGGCCCCGCCCTTTCTCTGCCCTTACCTGGTAGATCCAGTGCCTCAGTTCTCGCTGCGGGGGTCCGCGTTGCGGTTTCTCCTGCCCGGGCTGAGGCGCCATCACTTCAATTATCCAGTTCTGAGGAGCTGGATGTTGAAAGTGTGGATGCAGAGTCTATGGACTCAGTGGAGATCGGGGACTCGCCATCCCAGTCTCCCGCGAATGTAGAGCTGATGGAGGTTTTGACTCGGGCTGTGGAAAAATTAACCATTGAATGGCCAGTTGAAAAACAAGAGTCGAGAGTAAAAAGTAAAATGGATGAGAGATTTTTAAAATCACACTCACTACCTCCACGCCGGTGTTTGCCCTTTTTTCCCGATCTACACACCGAGGTGTGTAGATCGTGGAACAAACCAGTGTCAGCTAGAATTTTGACACAACAGACCTCTATGTACGCTAATATTGCTGGGTCTAGGGGACACGGTTATGGGGCGATGCCGAGGATGGAGGAAGTTTTGGCGAGCCATCTTTCTCCTGAGACGGCATCGTCTTTTAAAACACCGGCGTTGCCCACCAAGCCACTCAGAAATACTTCGGTTTTGGTGGGCAAAGCTTATTCAGCGGCGGGACAGGCAGCATCTTGCTTGCATACGATGGCCATCCTCCAGGCGTATCAAGCAGATCTGCTGAAGGATATGAGCGAGGGAGAGGTCGTCAGCACTGACGTGATTAATGAGCTGCGTCAGGCGGCAGATATTTCTCTCCGTGCCACCAAGGAGACGGCCAGATCAGTCGGCCGCTCTATGGCAGCCCTGGTGGCCACGGAGAGGCATTTATGGCTAAATCTGGCTAATATGAAGGAGAAAGATAAAGCTTTTCTCCTGGATGCGCCGCTGTCGACCGAAGGTCTTTTTGGTGGTTCTGTGAACTCAGTGATTGAGAGATTCCAAGAGGGAAAAAAGCAGGCAGCGGCGCTCCAGAAATGTCTCCCCGTCCGTACTCATCCTTCGGGGGCTGCTGGGCGAGAGCAGCCCCGCCCGTCGGGTTCCTCGCATAGGGCGCAGCAGAAGAAGAGCGTCGCGTCTCGGGCTCCTCCCCAGCAAAACTGGGCTGAGACGCGGCGTTCTCAGGGGAGGTCTTCCCGGGATAGAACCGATCTGAGGACGGTTATTGTCGCCAGGAAGGCTTCGTCGAAGAAGTCCTGACGCCACTGGTGTCAGGCTACTGAGGGTGGTCCCCACCGTGAGACAGAGGTGTTCGCCGCTGAATCCGGCGCCCGCTCTCTCTCGGTGCCCTCAGGGGTTCGTTCTGCCAACCCTGCCTGTAATGGGGGGTGCAGACGGTCCCAGCGAGCGATTTCCCGAGGGACG